AGTGCAATGAAGATATTTTGATACTAGTAAAAATATACAACCATTTAGAACTCTTTGAAAAGACATTAAATTTCAAATTTATCATCGACAGATGTACGTCCTCTTTCAAAAGTAAATGCTCGCTGATGAATGTAGTTACTGACAGTTCGAAACAACCAAGATTTACGCAAACCCATTAGCTGAACTTTCGCTGTGGCAGACATGTCAACGCCAAACTATGGTATAAACTCGCTACGATACCACAACCTACTCATCCACCCAAAAAACGGAGTTTAATAGACGATAATACAAAATTCTTTGGTTGAAGGTTATGCCCAGTCACGTTTAAACTCATCATCGGCCTATTATTTCGACCAGTGCTCGATAGGTACACGAAAGTGTACCGTGTGTAACTAGCAGTGTTGCACATGACATCATGACTATCGAACCATCTATATTCTCAAAAGCACGGCGACTGGCTCCTACAGATTGCCTGAAACGAATTAAACCACAAGATAAATGTAGGTGTTATCCAACCATTGAGCATCCCATGAGCATTCCTTTTGCATATAATCCTAACAAAGGATAGCAATAATTAGTGTCCAACCGGTGATTTTTGATGACTGAATCTGAAAACTACTCCAAATCATCACCCGTCCCCTCGCATTCACGACTTAGCAGCTACCTTTAGAGGAACAACCGTCTTTTTACAAACTGACTCGGTTTAAGCGTATAACCGAATCCCAAAGGCTGTGGAAGATAACAATAAGACGGCTACCATTGCGTCCTTTTGATTTTAAGAATTTTTGAGTACTCCCTTAGGTTCAAGAAATCTCGTTTAGACTTTTCAGAGATTCATTGATGATGTTATTAGAGGCCGTGCATTTGTGTATGCTTATGTTGAAGACTGTCTAATAGCAAGTCCGGACAGAGAATTTTATCTTCAGCATCTGGATCTTGTTTTCCAAAGACTTCCAAAATGAGGCATTACTATTAACATACAGGAATGTGAAAATGGAACATATTCACTGGACTTTGTCGGGCATACTATAGACGTTCAAGGTATTCACCGTCTATAAAATAAAGTCCTGACCATTCTGGACTACCCAGAATCGACTATAATTAGGCAACTCCTCACGTTTTGTGTACTCTTAAGTTTTTGCTGATGGTTCATACCGAATTAAGAGTCTCTCATGAGGCCCTTAGCCTACCGACTACGCGGAATAGCGAAAACCATTTACATAGGCGACATTGATAAAGACGGATTTTATGTAGTAAAAAAAGATCGCTGAGTCAACTGTGTTGGAACAGCTCATCACCGAAGCAGTATCACAAAAGACATATCTAAATGAGCAGCTGAGTCTTAAACAATGGGCAAACAATACCTGACAACCTTCAGTGTAGAATCCTTTTTGAATGTTTTGTGTTTTGGAAAATCCCTCCATGTTTACATATTTTTGTTATGACATGACGGACTTTTTCTGTTGACATTTTTGGTATTTTATTTGATTCCAATTTGAGATTTTATCATTGTATATTGTTATTCTTTCTATATTTTGTACTTATATTGAAGTTTTTATGTTTGCTTCTGAACTGTACATATGTTGTTTAAATTTGATATAATATGGCTACCGCCACATTTTTGGATTGATATCGTGCAGTATAGGAGTTCACCTAGACCTCGGAACCTTGATACTCATTCAGAGTAATTTTGAATTGGAAGGCGTAAATTTCGTTAGGTATTGTTTGTATTTCCATTAATTATTTATTAATAGACCATTTTCCCCTAGAATTATTGTGTTTTATATTATAATTCGGGAAGTGCGTCCGACATACGTCTATTGGAATCGAATTGAACTGTCACGGTAGAAATCCAATTACATTCAGTACTGTTCTGAAGACGATTGTAAGGCACTGAATCAAGATATAGAGATTTCGATGAAGAAGTCCTATCTACCTAATAGCCTGTAGGACACTTCTTGTCCTCTGGTACACACGTTTTCGTGCATCCTAATTCAATATATCGACCATTCAAAGTCGTAAATGAAGGACCATACAAAGTCTTTTCTCGCGAACCTAAGTGCTGTACGACTGATGAGAACGGTAGCAAAGACAGCATTAGCATCGAAACGTCGAAACCACATACTTATGAGTAAACCCATTCTCTGTCGGCCCCCCAGCACACAAACGAACGACACTACCCCTGAAGTTGTGGTATGATCTCTGACCTGTCACGACTACAAAGAAATTTTGTTGGTTTTCGAAAAGCGACCTAGTACGACGCACTCTGGAAGATCTGTAATCGAAAACCGAAAAACTGGTTTTGTTATTGTGTAATTTTCAAATATATTATTGTGTAACCTATGCCTTCTTAGAATAGCAGAAGATAGCCAAACGCAGCTGGAAAAGCAAGCTATGAAAATAGTGTTTACGACGTAAAGAACGTTGGGTTTGGACTTTTGTTTGGTTCCGTCTTAGTGTCATCACAACGCCACTTGGTTTTTTTTATGGGGGGGTGAGCTGTATAGGTAAGTAAATCACCCAAGCGAATAGTTCTGTAAGTCTTCTACATGGATGCCGACCACATTAGTTTTAATGGACATATCCTATCTGAAGGTGCTCGGTCTAACATTCGCACCAGATTATCATGCAGTACGCCATAAATGCATCTCCTCGAATCAAATCGCAAGCTTAGCCCACTCAAAACCGTCATTCAAATATACCTTTGACCTTCCTGACTCCAGAATTCTAGTCTTAATTAGCTTTAGGCATTCTCGGTCTGAGAGGTGTTACGGACAAAAGCTGTGCCCAACTTTGAATATCAATCGGCATCCTCTGTATAAATACCATAGTGTCAATATGCACTCAAATCAAACGAGTTTAAGGAGTTGTTACGGGATTATTTGAGAAAAAGAGTATGATTTCGGGTTAAAAACACTTCGGGCTATACGAGCATAAGTGTTTTCAAATGTTAACAGCAAGAGCTTTAATGAGACTGTATTTCTGTGCTGTTTGTGTAAAACGGTGATTTCTGATGACAGGGTACTTACGTCTGTTACGCCCTGTGGAAAATAGGCCACCAACAAGCATTCTCCAATGAATTGTAGCGGGCCATCTTTTCCAGGTATTTCCAAAAGCTATGTAGTCCGTTCTCGTCTGTACTCTGTTCCCAGCGCAATGTACTCTTCGGTCTGCCTCTTCTCTTCTGGCCTTGAGTATTTCCACTTAAGGCTTGTCTCGTGAGCCACTTTGGTAATTTCCGCAACTTTTGTTCCATCAGTCCCCAATAACTTTCTTAGTTTCCCATTTGGATGGGAGCTGATTTATTCTTTAACACAGTAGGTTGTTGAATATGGTATCTGGCCGAAAAATTAGAAGTATCTTACGTGAACAGGTTTTCACATATACTTGTATCATTTTGATGATGGCTTTCGTAGTTCACCAAGTTTAAAGAACTTTACAGAAGTCTGTTTTAAAAATTTTTATTTTAGTGTTGGTTGAATGTTGTTTTGAATTCTGGATATTATTTAGCTATAGGAATGCTGCCTTCGCATTGCTAATCCATGTCCTTACATCTATATCAGACCCACCTTGTTTGTCAGTGATGCTGCCACAGTGCCTTGTCCATCTGTTCCTCTCTTCTTGGAAATCATTTATTCGTTTACCTTCTGTGTCATTGAATGATCTGTCAGGTTTATTGTTTGGTCCCATAAGCTCCTTCGCTGTATCGTAAAGTTGTCTAATACTTCCTTCTCTCGCAACCATTTTGCCACCACTGCTAAATATTCCATGTTTCTGTTGGTCAGTTATAATGCTTCTATTCATTAGCTTGTTTGCTTCACTGTTTTTAGCGTGTAACTTGGCATTCTTTCATTTTGTTCGACTGTTGTTCATTTCTGTCAACGTGTTTTTCTTTTCTTCAGTTCATCCCAAGGTATCGATGTTGCTGCGTAAGGCTCACAATAGTCAAACTCTTCGCTGGACATTTCTTGACTGCATCACTTCATAGAAGTGATTCTTATCGTCCTCATTGTTATCGTTGGTAGGTGCATATCACTGGATGATATTCATTGTAATCTCTTTGTTCTTTGTTCCGAAAGATGCTTTGGTGGTCCTGTATCCATCAGTGCAACTCCTTGTATGTGAGGTATTTTTTCTACATGGCCGGAGTAAAACAGCAGCTCACTTGAAGCAAGTCTCTGCTGTCCAACCTGTGTCCAATGGGTTTCAATGATTGCAAGCACCCAGGTCGTATCTTTCGTTTCTGCAGCAACTTGAATAGTTCTCGTGGTCTCCTGCATTGGGTGAACATCCCATTTACATTTATTAATTGCTGGTCTCTGTTGATACATTGGATAAGATTTAGGAAAGGAAGAACAGGAAGACAAAAACCAATGTCAGCCGAAAAAGAACGGAGAAAGTCAAGGCAAACAAGCAAGGGCAGAAGGGTATTGAAGCAGATAAACAGAAATGCTTGAAAGACTCGGCACTAATAGCATAAAAAGTTGCAAGAGAGGGAAATATACGACAACTATGTAATACAACGAAGAAGGTTGTCGGAAAATATGGTACACCATAATAACCAGTCAAGAACAAGGAAGGCAAACCAGTCGTTGACAATCAGGAACAGCGAAATGGGTTTGTAGAGCAATCTGAAGAACGATTCAACAGATCAGCCCCACTAAACCCACCCAACATCAAAGCAGCACCGCCAAGCGTTGGTTGACTCGCCAACAATTGAGGAAATCAGCACGGCCATTACAGAAATCATGAGTAATGAGGCAAAAGGAACTGAAAGAATTCCATCTGAGGCGATGGGAGTAGACAGAGAAACCAAACGGTATTTTTGTGCTCGATACGAGGATATTAGATTTCGATCAAAGACCAGAAAGAGCGATACGAACTTATTAAGGAAGAAAGTGAACTTTTGAAAAGGCCATGGTTCAAGAATTAGGGCAGATCAACAAATATGCCATCCCTTATAATAGGAATGGAAAAGAGTCCAAGTTATTTCACTTCAACAAAACTTGAGGTTTGAATGAATGACCTTGAGAGAGGATACATCCGCGAGTGTCAACAATTGTTTACGATTTAAGGTTGCAATCGGCTACTGCGTGCTATAACTTGAAGGCGTGATACCGTTATGGTAGAACTACAAAAGACGTAATTTAAATTTTGATCCGACCATTGTACATTTGATTAGATGGACAATGTCGCATGTGATTCCTACTGTGTGCATATTGCCTTTAATCCCATCATGGGTTTGGATGAGGATATTGAAGCATTTACTGAAGAATTCGCCGATCTTGGGAGTCCTCGTTTTGTAGATTTCGTGGAACTTTGGAAAAAACACAAAATGATTCATTTAATCCATGGGAGACAAAACCAACATGGCTTATATGATATAATTGGTTGCATTTTTCATCGGTTGGTTAATCTTTTTCAGCCAACCTTATCTAAAAACAAGCTAGTTCGTATATGCGCACTGTACCTTCTCTATGCTTTCCATGGGAAACAGCCTATTCATAAGCATGTAGGTTTTTATACTTTTCTCTTTTTAATTAAGTTGAATTCAATGTCTATACACTCATTATTGTGTTAATAATCAATGAGAAAATGCATGCAAAGTAGCAGCTGGGGTAACACCTAACGACATATCACAAACGAGATAGTATTATTACTAGTACTACTTCATTTCTTAATAGACTATCTTGTATAGATACTCAATGTTATTATATAAGCTTCAATCACTACATTAAACGGCAGGTATTTTCATTTGTTATCATACCCCTGAACCCTTAGAAACTTGGTAAGATCAGTACACACTAGTTTCTTGTAGGAATATAGTGCTAACATGTTATTCTTTTAACTGATTGCTATTCCCAGCAAAAATTGGGTAACACATGAACAATAGCGCTTTCAGAATTCACATTCTATGTATTAAAAGGCGTCTGAAATTTCTCTTGCCTTATTTATCTGAGCTTTGTCCATATATAGGTTTCTTCCATCTAGTCGTTTTTTTAAGTAGAGAAAGCATTTTCAGCTTACTTGTTTGCTTAGCTATCTCTGCATTAACAAATTATAAACTATCCCATTCTGGAGCAAGATTACATTTATCCCAAGCCTCTTGATCTTGATTTATTTTCGATATTCTTAGTGGACGATTGATTACCACTTGGATTGTTACTAGCTTTTTTACAAAATAAACGTTGACGCGTTCCGTACTTTTTCAGTGTCGGCTAATTCTTATGAAACTTTTGGACATCAACAAAATATTTGACGAACATATCGATATTCGCCGTAGCTTCTTTCAATGAGTGAATTGTTTGCTTATCCTATCCACCTCATGGTTTGCATTAGTGTTCAGGGAGTCATTCGGACTGATTGTCATGTAAAGATGTTCCGAAAAATAAAACTTTCAGTGTTTTCTATAACCATAAGACTGGTTTTAGTTCATATTTACGAAATACGGGCATACTAAGGAAGTTCGTTTATTCTTCTTCAGAACTACATCCAAAGTAGAGTTTTAGGTAAAAAAAAAAGGTAAACTAGTCTACAAAATGTTACAGCTGGGTTAATGCAGGTTCATATTACATGTGTTTGGGGTCACCTGTGTGAGCTCATTGTTTCCTCAAGTGGAATTGCGATAGATAATTTCTATGTTGGTCAGATATGCTACGGATTTATTGAGTATATGCTTCTTACCTCGGCCACATTCAGATATTTTTGTTTCATGTATTTGGAAAAGTTGGCACTCAGGTGTTCTAGTATTCTTATGTCCTTACTTCATGTCTTTTTTTATTTCTGAGTGGAACTAATGGATTGTTTAATCGTGAACATTCAATAATCTTTCTGAGTAATATCATCAAGAACTTCACGAGTGTTTATTAGTAGTTTGCACTGATGCTGGTGTTTATAAGGGTAATAAAGGCCTGAAGATTTGATTGGACTCGGCTGGCATAGCATTACTGAAATCCCCTGCTACGCTACGAAGTATTTAGTTTTATCATTATGGGGTTGTAAAAGTTGTTGAGTTTCACTGAATTCATAAACGTGTTTGGGTTAGACCACCATTAAAAACCCGAAATCACTGAACAGTTGTGCTGTTCTAGTAAGGGACTCCTCACGCGGGGATCGAACCTAAGAACTCCGGTTTCACGCACTCATCCTGTAGACCACTGAGACGATATCCAGTGGTGTTAATGTCTAACTTTAATCTGTCCACAACATTGCACTACCATCCTTTATTGTCTTTAGTGCGTAACTACCTCACTTCAGACATGATTTAGCTCTGCTAGTATTGACTTCTCCCTAGAACTCCTAAAATTACCTTTCAAAGCTAGTCACTAGGCGTTTTTATTACCTTAAAATACGTGGTAACTGGCTGTTATTTTACTCAAGACATTCTCTGCTTTGATGCAATTAGTCGCTGGCTCAGATTCATTTGCCACCGAAACTATCGTATTTGATGATAATTCCACTGTACTTAGTTTTTATTCTGACTGCGCTTTTTAACACTATCGTAACTTATACTCAACAGCTTAAAGTAACAAGGCTTGATTAATCACAGCGCATATCCATTCATTTATTGACCTGTCAAATCTTTAAAATAATATTATTGCATCTATCTTATTCCTGTTATCCATCGGTTTCCAAATGCCCCAATACGCACAAGAGTGGGAAGAGTCCGCCCCCTTTTCAAATATTCTCATATGACCATGCCTATCCACTGCCAGGGAAGTCCTACTCGCTGCCTTCTTTGGGAACAAGTGTTGTTTAAAAGTTAAGAGGACGAAAAGCAAGTGTCCGGCTCTTTAACACGGTTGCTACTTATGAAGGACTTACCTGGTAGAGTTGGAAAACCGTGATTCAAAATAAACGGTGTACATGGGGCTCTAGGATCCCGATGAAACGAATGGCGTATGAACCTATCGTCGGCCACCTGCTACCATGAGACTCTATCTCCTGACGTTGGTTCACTACTTTGCGGATTAGACTCTTGGGTAAAGGGTTCGGGAGTGTCCACCTATGTAAACCACTTGCTTCAGTTTTGGAGTCTGGGCAGTATCTCAGCTCACCCATAAATTCGATAATTTGTGTGATGAATAAATATCTAGGTACCCTTTTTACCGATGTTTATGTGTTTACATAAAATTAGATTAAGTTTCCTTTAACCTTTCCCCTTCTTTTTGTTGCTCAACTATTGATTTCACCATAATTTATTTACGTTCCACTTTGCTAGTTCTGTTGTACTAATATGAGGTATAGGGACATTTGTGTCCAGAATGATGTTGTGTATACCTGTCTCATCTAATTTACTAAGCCAACTCATTAAATTCTACTTCATTTCTTACAGAGGCAATGAGATATCCACTTATTAAATTGACTGGTTGTGTTCATCTCGAATCAGAACATTTTTATCTTAAAACCTTGATTCAATTGTCTTAAATCTAGATTTTCTTCGGTGGTTCACTGGTATAATGCTCGCCTACCACACGGTCAGTCTGAGTTTGACTCCCGGTAGATGCACTCCTCTTGTAGTGGCCAGGCGTACCTGGCTTTAGTCCATGAAATCGCTGACTATTGGACTAAGCCATGTAGCTAGGTAAAAATTATCTGATTGTCGTAACCAGTGGTTGGAGACCTTGGATGACGTGGCTTAAAATCGTTGGCAAAGGTGCGTATTCATCCAATTTGTTTTCTCTTAGATCTTAGGTTTCTAAATGACTTGATAAATTGTTTATTTTTCCTAATAGTTTATATTTTCTCAACTTGCATCGTCGATACCTAATCTTTCCTATTACCGCTAATAGTTCCTATCTGTACTACTCTGAGATTTTCTCTGACAATTTCATCTTGCTTTGCATATGGTATGTGACAACTCGAATAGATGTATATATTTAACAAATTTTATGTTATTTACAACTGACCACTAAAAAATCGACCACATGTTGGTAATTTATGGTGAAGTTCTTTGTCTACATTGTATCATAAAGGTATTGTGTTTTCTTGGTAGGTAATATATATATATATATATATATATATATATATATATATATAATCGTGATGAAAGTGGAAATTAAATTCAACATGAAGTTTTAGTTACTTAGGAATCTAATATTGTAGTGTTTTATGTATTCTTAATCTGTTGACCATTAGGTTCGTATACGTGTTTGTCCTGAAAGTTGGCCTTGGATCTTACAAGTTGCAACGGAGGCTCGTGATGAAGGTCACTTAGATGTTTATTATGTTTTTCGAAAGCTATGTGCTGCCAATGCATTTTTATTTTGCGCGATGCGGCAAGTGTTGTACCCCGGAGCCCCTCTTTTTGACAGTCCTGCTTTGAACCAAGAGGACTTTACAGAAGACAATGCTGCCTCACCAGCTGAATATTCACCTGATGTTGCAAAAACTACTCCCACTTATCGACGTGACCTACTCACTTATTCTCTACCTGTTGTAAAAGCTCTTCAGACTCCTTCTTCGGGATTAAATCAAACGGTACAGTGTTTAAATATGAGTTTGTCGAGATATGCTGAAGCTAAACGATTACTTACACAAAAAGTCAAAATAACTGATGAGAACATTGCTTCGGACTCATCGAAAACACAAGAGACTGAGGGAGTTGAAGATTCAGAGGAAGAATATTTGCCAGGCTTAAATCTCGTAACCTTCCCTGTGAGTAGCATAGTTCATTTTCTCATGATTTTCACAATTCATAGTGGTACTAACTTGCTAATTTTGATAGGTTATTCTTAATTAGAACAAAACAAAAATTCTTGGAAATGTTTTACATTTTTTCGATACTGTCTAATAGTTTCAGTTATGGTGGAAAACCCACGAAACATACCATTGTACCAGCTTCTTAACTCCTGTTTTTGGTACAATTTCACTAATCATAGTTTTTTTCGAAATAGCCCTTCTTTATAGGTTACATAAAGTGCTAATTGTTACTCCGTTTTCGTGAATTTTTCGTCCTTTTTTTCAAGGGATCATTTTGATAACTGTTCGTTCATTTATGTTTTAGCATGTTTATTCATTGTGATTAAAGTCACTCTTTTCATGGATTAGTTTATTTTTATGAGGTTTCGGATATCCATTGGATTAAAAGGAATATATAACCTCATATTATTATTTGTTTTATCACCACTTTCACAACGCAAATACAAAATCAAGTTGTATTAAATGCTAATATCATATTTTGGCAAACTATTCTGCGGTTAAAATTTGAAAAGGTACTCTAAAAAGAGCCAATATCTTTCTGAGACTTACAGTCATTCTATACTCAATACATATGTGAGCTTTTAGTTAAAGCTTGTGATATCGACTAAACGGAAACTAATTCACTTTCGATCAATGTGTTTCATTAGCCTCAGATATGATACCTCAGTTCATAATTCTACTAGCATATAAGTAGACTTATCATCTGCCCCAATTTCATACTGCTAGAACTTGTTTCCAAGTAATTTTTTCTTTTAGTTTACAAATGTAAATCTCGCTCTCCTTATTACTGTTATGGTAAACATAATATTGTCCTCCGTCACAACTGTTGGTGCTCAAAATTGTTTTGTAAGAACATACAATAACAATCTCAATATCATTAAAATTAGCTCATTTACCAAGTAGAAGTTCATATACTCACCTTTAAGCCTTAGTGGATGTCAGTACTATTACTACTAACTGGCTATCTCGAATAATAATATGTGGATTGAACTTTGAACTAAACCAACTTTCCTATCTTAAAGTCGAAATATCCAGTATCTTTAGCATATGAAGTAGATACGTAATGAGTCTATCGGTTTCTGTCATTCAATACCTAATAATTAGTCTAACTTATTCACCAGGTATAAATTAGTGTACTTGGTTTTGAGCCACGATCTAAGTGTGAGAGCTAGTGATGCTATCCAGGTGCTCAAACTGAAGTAGATGGAGTGGGATTGGAACATCTGACTTAGTAACTGCAAGTTGAACGGTTTAAGTAGTCTAGTGACTTTCTTGTTATCTATACACGAATAAGCTGATACTAGGTGCTAACTTTTTGATATACAGGCTTTGCTTTTGTCATAGATGTCTTCTAATACGTTTACGGAATCCTTTTTCATACTGGTTGTTAAGAATTTGTAGTCCACATGCTTGAGTTTATTAATACGAGACTCCAAAATGGGTTATATTTTCCTGCACTTATATTAAGAATCATTTTATAACATCTTGTAAGTTCTTACTTTATTCAACAAAAATAAAACAACTGAGATTGGGAATTGATTGCCGGTACATCTAGACGTCAGCTGAAATATTTTCCAGATAATTCAGGTTTTAGAACGGGACTTTCATAAGTTGGGTTTTCTAATACATGCTGTGCACTTATGTCCATCGTTCTACGCTAATAAATGTCTCTTAATTAAGTAAGAATATCGTATAAAGTTTATTATATTTAACAACTAAAACTGATATAATTCTCTTTTTTCCCCATTTCTGACAACACCATAGGATTCACTAAGTCGTATTGAAATGCTTGCAATGGAATTGGAGAACTCAGCCAAACAAAACTGCCTTAAAAGTCGTTTTATTCCTCGCAAAAAGTCCAGTATTCATGATCATTCAGTTAAAGAATCTCCTTCAGCGAACGTAGGAATTTCCGCAATTGAAAATCTTTTCGAAACACCACGCACTGGTATAGTTGTAGGTGCTAGATTAATCGACAGTAAAACAAAAGGTTGTAAAATTGTTGAGAACAAGTCAGTCTCACAATCTTCTGACAATCAACAAATTAGTAAACAGTCATGTAGTCAATCACCCTCAAAAATTACTACTTCAGATTCTTCTATAAAGTCTGAAGAAACAACCGATGTAAAAGAAGCTGTTAGTTGGGGTGAAAGACTTCGACTCCTAAAAAGACCTTCAACTTGGGCTAAAGAATTAGCGGAGCAGGCAGAAAGTGTGTACAAGGATGGTTGTCGCCGAAGTAGACGACGTCCAACAGAACCCAAGGTTATTACTGCATCTACAAGTAAAAAACAACAACGAAAATCCCTAAGATAGATTATGTTTTTTCTGTTGATCTTTGTACATTTTTTGTATTTCTCTCGAAACTATTTCTAAATAAAATTGACAAATTGTTTGAGAAATAATAGCTCAAGTTTTCATTTCTGCATGTTTGTTTGGTTGGTTCTGCTGCGTAGTATGATAATCGGTTCGTATGTTTTATTTTGTAACAGTAGCAATATAGCTTGTTACTTTCTGACCAATAAAATCGAAAACAAATGAAAATGGATGTGCAAAATCAACATGATATGTGCCATCATTTATCATACTTGAAAATATCATACCAAGACATTGAGATCAAAAAGTCATGTTTTAATTGGGTTATTAATCTATAGCAATGTAGTTCCTGGCAGATGATGTGTTTCCTTCCACAAGGATGTATCATACACAGAGCCATTTGTAAATAGAACCTCGAAAATCTATTTCTTCATAATCGGAAGCCCACTAGTTTAAAAATGATCATAATCGGTAAACACCAAGAGCGAAAGAAATGAATGAGACAGTGGAGATAGATAACATTACACAGGTATTCAGGCTCTCAGACAGTCAGATTAAAACATCACCCGCTGTTGACACTGAAAAATATTGAACGATGGTCTACTTTCAGATCGGACTACTGGAACGATTGGTTAGACGTTGAAAAACGACTTAACAACTAACTTGCATTCCACTATTCATAAACATTTTGAATGCGTGGTTGACTTTATATACTCAACTCCTAGTGAATTTGTAAAGATTATAACTGACCTAAGTTTGAGCATATTAGCGAGTTCAAGTGGGTCAATTTAAAATGTCCTTAAGATTGACTGAAGTGTTAGCTAGAGTTTGAAACATGGACGTAATCGGATCAAATTAATCGGGATTACTGATTGTCCTTGTCCTTAATGTGGTCACAGAGCAAAAATTTATCTTGTATGTTGTTTATGACATTAGTATCGATATTCATCTGACGCTGTAGTGCATCTCTCAGGTAATAATTTTTAGAAGAACGGTGTTTTAAGCTCGGTTAACGATGTTTAAATCAAATATTCATCTTCTGATACGGCTGAATGTAGTTGTACTTCGGGACTAGATGGTTGCATTTGATTTTCTTCGTCAATATGTTCTATTGAATTGTTTGTCATTGCAAGATGTGTCATAAAACATCAATCTACTGAAGGTTGTTTACTTAAATTCCGCCGGTTAGGCTTAAGTTTACGGCGAACCGTCGTCAGACTTGGGGACATCAATTATTGTTAGTTTCGACCATAGGTAGGAAATTTGTGATTATTTCCTTATGTATTGTTCTATTGAAAAGGCATCTACCCGGTGGTACCGTAATCAGGTTAGAGTATGTGAATTACATAGTTCTGTTCAATAATTATGGCTCAAAAATGATTTCCGTTGGTTTAGCAAAAGCCTAGCATATGGTTCAGCAGTTTGTTTTTTAATTGTTTTGCGGCTGAGATACATGGTCTGTTGAAGTAGCAAACATACTTAAGCTCCGAGTATTTGGTTGTAGGTATTTTCTAAATATTACTTACATATGATGGTGTTAATCAGCGTATAATTTTGCAGTTCAGCATACAGTTTCAAGCTAAACGGCCCGTCATTCGAATATTGAGTAGTTTAGTCTTCACTCCTTGTTTTATAAGGTTACCTGAAAAGTCATCTGCGGTATTGGTTGGTGTATGGACATAGAACTATCGAAGATAAAAATTTTTTTTGGTTGTGCTTGTTAGTTCTATTTGGTTAAATAATTCAGTTACCAACTTCAGAAGCTTTTATTCTAAATTTATTTTAAAGGATATATAATATCTTGGATTTGAATGATTGTGTGCAACTAATGTCTCCAGTTACTCTTAGGAATGAAAACAAACCACAGCTACCCAGTAACCTAAGGTAAGAGCTTCTTTGATCCTCATAAGTAGTATACCTGCTTCTGTTTGAGCATGCAGGCGGTATCCAAGCTCACACAGTGATTTGTGTGGTACATAAATATACAAGTGCCTCTCTAAGCTAATGTTCAAACTTTTGTATTTCATGATATTTACTTTCTTGTGAAATCAGTCAGTGTTTTTTAAACTTTTGACTGGCGTTTTCGTAGTATTGAATTCTGTTCAATGACTTTTAAGCATGTGAGATTACGTATTTTGTGTGTATTGGATAAATATTTTAGACATTTCATATGTTTTATATGAATATGACCAAAATTTGAACAGTTTAACAGAAGTTAAGTTCCAAGTATTTAGGAGATACTTGGCGTAAAATTGTATTTGAAATAACTTCAGCGATCAAAGTATGATTTAAGGTTCCACAGTTAAATAATTAAACCGAATTTTATCGAATAAAAGTAAGGTCAACAACATTCTAATGCATATGGCTTAGATCTCTGCACATCTTCCACCTACGCTTTTTTTATATATCACAATACTACTTACTAATACCCAGTAGATGGTTTTTATTTGAACAAATTTCAAACCGTCAAATCCTCAATTCACTCAGTATCATTTTGATGTTCTCACTAGTCTATACTCCCAAATATTAGTTCTATCTTGATAATACCTACAGTCTGCCCCACTATTTTGAGCCTTGTATCCCCTCGAAAACCTACCTGCCTGAGTACCTAGACTACCTGTTTCCTAACATCAAAATATTTCAACAAGTTTCTTCTGTTGTTTTTTTAACACGCCAATTATGTCTAATAATCTCAATCTATTCAGGTGCGTGTTTAAGAAGTTTGAAAGCTGTCGCTTCATAAGGTATAAGAAATTACAGTCCGACCCATCACTTTGGCTGAGAATCTACTGAGAAAAAAATGATATTCAATAAGATGTTGATTCCTGAACTACTTACTTCCAAATATCGATTACCAATCGTTTTGTGAAAGAAACTTGTTGAAATACTCCTTGATCAGAAATTCATGTGATAATAAGCAAATAATATTGAATAAAGCCATTATTGTTATTATTAACTGTAAAAATATTATGGTTTCTGATTGTTTGTTTGCTCACCATAAGTAAACCTTTTTCACATGGCATTTTACTGTCTCAAGGTGTCGAACGTTTCATAAATCTCATTCAAACCCTTCAAAAGATGGCTATACCTCGATAGAATAAAAAGGTCCTGATATACCCCATCATTTGGGGTCTGTAAACATTTTTTACCCATGTTTTCTTTAATTGTGTATCTGTCCTAGTAAACCCAGTATTTTGATTTTGAAATTTCATATCTCACTTAATTGTTGGGTCAGAATCATACTAATCGCACTGAATGAAAACACAGTAGCTTTAGATATAAACCGCACGAACATATGTGAATACAAATGGCATTCGAATAAGTTCTATGAATTGTCTGTGGGAATGCGAAACATTTATCTGCGTAATGGACTTATTGCTTATCTAACATTTTATCAGATTTTGAGTTTAGATGAGTTTTGAAAAGGTTATACTGAAAATAGTTTGAATCTACCCATGAATAAACTGTTTTATCATAATTTAACAACAAATATGGCTTTCTTTTTCTCTGAAGTTAATATTTAGCAATAAAGGTGTAGTTCAATAGTTCAGTTGTTTAATTTGTTTATCTAACCACAAATTTTACTTGACTATTTCCACTGCTGATTTATATACATTAGATTTTGTAAAAATAACTTAGTAGTATCGAAAGTTACATGGTTCTCATGTAAATCAGTAATAAAGTTATATCACTTTTTAATCATATAATATATCTATTTTCTTCTAAACTTTTCAGTAAACCTAAACCACAAAAGTTAACCAAAGATTTTGTACAATCAAAAAATTATCTTAATTCTATTCCTAACAATCATTCAACAATATATCCATCTAAATTAAAAGAAACATCAACAGCGTCAAAATCAAACGATATTCTTGATAATCGTCTTCATCAATTAGATGATTCGACAAAAGAATTATTATCATATTATCGTCATAAAGTAGAAACTTTAACTGAAGATCATGAAACTGTTCAACGTCGTCTAGATAAAATTTATGATGCTATAAGTAATCAAGAATCACTTAGTTTAGAATTAAATCAACGTGATGCTGAAATTTCCGAATTACAAAGAGCATTATCTGATATGCAGGTAAAATGTATTAAGTGTGTTACGAATAATTCTATTGTAAATAAATATTGTTTTCTAATCAGTTAAGAATTCATTCAATGTCATTGCTATAATTTAACTTATCTATTCAATTGACTACTTACTTACTTACTCCTGTTACCCCTAATGGAGCGTAGACCACCGACTAACATTCTCCAATCTACTCTGTCCTGAGCTTTCTTTCCCAGTTCTATCCAAACGCTGTTCATTCTTATGTCTGCTTCCGATTCTCGGGCCAATGTGTTCTTTGGTCTTTCTCTTTCCCTTTGGCCTTGAGGATTCCAGGTGAGGGCTTGTCTTGTGATGCAGTTGGGTGCTTTCTTCAATATGTGTTCTACCCACGCCCAGCACTCTTTCCTAACTTCTTCCTCTGCTGGAATCTGGTTTGTTCTTTCTGCACATAATCCTGTGATGCATTCTGGAAATCATTTCTTTTCCTAAATGAAGTTATTCAACACCCCATTACGAATAAAATCGGCCTTATTTTTCTTAAATAATTTTAATGAAGACTGAATGAAAGTTCCAGGCAAAAAGCTGAAGTTATTTAAGTGTTTAGATTCTTACAGTCCGTCTTGTTAGTTCTAGCAGTTATTATTTTTTTTCAAACATCTCTACATAGTGTGTGGCTCGGAGATTTTAAAATAATGGCCTCTGAACTATAAGAAAACTTGATGCAGATTTAGTATAAGACAGTAACTAAAAGTGATAATATATACTGTATGCCCGTCTCATTCCAAAATATAATAATTTGTAGTTAGACATAACATGTAACACAATATTTGAATGTGCTGTTGGAAGTAATCACAGTGGAGCAGTTAAAAATGGTAACCCAGAAAGCAGTGATTATTATTGTCACTACTTAAAACTAATTAGAAGTCAATGACAAATGGAATAAAATAAATGGTGAATAAAAGTTTATAAGAAGAAGAAGAAGATATTCGTTATTGAGAAGACCATATTATCGAGAATAATACTAATGATTATTTTCAATTCTTATCCTCTTAAAGTCAGTAATAATCTATACAAATTGTTTTATTTACTTTATATTACATGTAACTATCAATTTGTTATTCATTTATTTCATCTTCGTTTTCATTTTGTCGTTCATTTACACTGTCAACAAAATTCTATGTATTCTGTAAATTGTGAAATTTGTATAATTGATAATGTTAAAAGTTAATGTTAAAAAAATACTCAAAGGTAAATTAGTATTACAAAAAATAAAATTCCAATGAGACAAATTATGACTGGCAATGGAATCGAAGACTTGTGTTTTGTACTATTTATGACTCATTAGTTGGATGTCTATGCATTCCAATGTTGAAATCTGTATTAAGGCACAAACCTAGTTAGGTGCTTTTCGTTTCAAACACCAACGCATTGTTCACTGAGCTAGTGGTTTCACATACACATTGATGTATTCAACTTACAGTATTCATCACGAGATTTTGATTTAATTACTAGCTGTATATAACATTCATTTCATTCAGACTTGTTTTTCACTGTTCATTTCCCAATGATTAGGAATTTCTTTCCCATTTCATTTTCACCTATCTATCTACGTTTTAAAATTAGACCATTATTAAATAACAGTTAGATCAATTAGGTGGAACAAAAAAAGCAAAGAAAATGTACGTTTCGTTAAATATTTATCAATTAGTCAATACAACGGATTATTTGTATGTGATTTTGCATGTAAAAACATGGAAATGTAAGCGAAATTCTCTTCATTTTTTATGCTTTTTTTATTTGTACATTTTAATTAGGGCGTGGAGACTTATTCAAAAGTTTCGGAAATCATTTGAATGTATACTGTTAAGTATTCAGTATAATTGATAGATTTTAATGAAGTGATTATTCATAGACCCTGCTTTCTTCTTAGATATTTGAATGACATAAAGTTTAGTTTAGTTTAGTTTATATCGTTTTATTCAAGAAATTAAATATTTCTAAATATAACTTTATTTGTAACATGGATTTAAATTAATTATCTAAATTATAAATCAGTCTATCACTTGAAACTTTTATTCCTCCTTCTACTTATTATAAACAGGTTTATCTATTTCAAGAACGTGAACATGTTCTACGTTTATACGCTGAAAATGATCGTTTAAAAATTCGTGAACTAGATGATCGACGTAAAATACAACATTTATTACAATTATCCAATGTAGGACCAAATGAAATTACTTATTTTTTAAAACAACCTAACACTGAATCAAAAAATGTTATAAATCAAGATTCAGCTAATAATGAAACTGATGAAACTATCATCGATGATGAAAATAGAAAATTGAACAAAAAGGTAACATGGATTTCAGCTATGGCTGTTAAACCAATTATTCCAACAGCTCCTTCTCAAGGTGTTGTGGAATTTACTGCTTCAGGAAAAACAATTTTCAAACCAAGTAGAAGTATGTATTTCGTTTTTTGTAGTCTACACATTCATTAAAGCTGAAGAGTTAACTTAAATGGCCACAAAAACTTGAGGTTTTTTTTTACTTTTACACTGGTTGATCACTTGTTAGTAGACAATATAGTATTACTTACTCCCGATCGGACTTGACTGATTAAATTACAATCCGGTCGTAAGTAAAGGTGATTCGTTATCGTGATGCACTTTTTTATATATTTCCAAACGGCTAAAGGGGATTGACATAAAACCCAAGATACAGGTTTTACACTAGTTGACAGTCGCCAACTGAGTGTATTTGCAATCTTGAAATGACTTATGGTCTTTCTAATATTTGAACCGTTCAACATCCTTTGCTATTGTATTGACACCCATTATCCGTGCACTAATCTGACTGCTCTACCAGAAGGAGAGTTGAGATATGTTAGTCAGTACCATATTTGTCTAGTTTTAAGTGGTGAATATGCTTCTTTTGCTTACAGCTGACATTTTTCCACCAGTGACTTGAATTACTGATGATGAAGATTTCAGGGCATGACTATAATGTTCAATCATGAGTGTTTGGTTAACGTTTGTTTCAAAATGTGTGCTCATATCATGAGGAAGACACATTAGTTGCCTGTAACAGTTCGTTAATTTGCTGCAAATTGTACATCCTTGCAATCTAATTAATCGAAATTCAACTGTTCTGATTGGATGTCAAATTTTTCATTTTATTGCCTTTAATTTTTCTTAAAAAAAATCTGTCAGATTGTCACATTCTTGTGAAACACAAAATTGAAACTTAAGAAAAAAAGTTACTTCGATTGTATTCGAACCTCGTATGATACAACTAGTTGTTAATAGTCACTGAGATGAACTGAACTCAATTAAATTACAAGCTACTTGGAAACGGAACTTAATTTATTCCGTCATGTTGACTGGAGCCGACAATTCTTGTGACGAGAGAAAATCAGTGAGCATTACTTGAATATAATTTCGCTTTTAAGAAAGAGACTATTTATGTCATTCAAAGTAAACTAGAGAAAATTGTAAACTATTTCTCATTTACGTGGGAAATTTTCTGATCGATAGACGCAGATTTCTAATCACAGTAGTGATTATCGCATCTGAAAGATAATACAATAATCAATGTCAAGGGAAACAGTTAATTTCCTTTTGACTGTTTGAATTATTTGTTTATTTAACGTGTCATTGAAGCTGTTAAAAATTCCAAAATGTGTTTAGAAATACAAACAAATCACTGCGATAAGTTAGTGTAAACGGTATATTTGATTAAATGCTAAATGTATGATGAATCAGACACTGTTGAATGATCAACAGTTTACACTTTTGTAAATGAAGAATAATCTAAGAGAAAAAAAAAGCAAACGACATTAAATAAGGTTTTAACAAAAACCGAAATATTGTGTTCTCGAATATCACAGTTAACAATGGAATAAAGAATTATTATGAAATTTTAAAATGTTATCAATATTAAAATTGCTTTTCAAAAACAAATTATCCGCAGAAAGCTCATATCGAAAGGAGTTTGTATGTGATGAATTAGACGTGGCCGAAAACAGTGAAAATGAAAATAGTTATACAATGATTGGCGGCCAAGCATGAAATGCAGTTAACAGATGTAATGTTCATTGTATTATCAATTAGACTTTTAAATCTTAATCGGGTTAACTGTATGAATCGAAAATTGTCAGTACTTAATTTCAAGATTCTTTTGTTTTGTAAAATTCCTTGATTTATCAGTTTTTCAAGTCTAATGTTAAAAAAATTGTTATTGAAATTTGGTTCCTAGTTCATACACATTCTTTGTCTAGAATATTGGGTTTTCAGATGACCATATCCTGTGTGGTAAATCGTTCTTCATAACAAACCTGAGTACTAAAGTGTTTCTCTTAATGATGGGTGTCAACTGCACGAAAGATGAACAGTTTACTGAACTTCTAACAGAACAAGCGAATATTTAATCAGATTGTGGTTCCTTTAATTTTAGTTTCAATGAGAATTCAACTAACAATAAAATTTCTAGTCAGACATAACCTAAAAAGTGTTGTGAGTTTGAATGTATTTTGGTTACTGTAGCAGTCATCTACGGTTTATCATCTGTGACAGTTCCAAGCAGATTTAGACTATAAGTTGAACGCCTGTAGAATGACAGAAATCGAGATAACAGTGCTGGAGTTTTACAGTAAATAAAGGCTGTAAGGACTAAACTGAACATTAAGTTCATATCCAAAATCACGATTTGAAGTGTTGGTTTTTGATGTTCCATTAAATCTATGGATATCAAAGAGAACAGTAGTTAAACTGATTTGATCTGTAGTAGCGAGGAAAAGTTACTGCAGATTGTTATCTTGATCCATCTGCTAATTGGAAGATCCGTCAATGGGTAAAGTGTAACTCCAGAGGTTCCCAAGAAATCGAAGAGTTTTCTTCCAATCACAGCTCAATAGAGTTTCTACAATGTTGATGTGGCATAAGGTGATTGAATAATAGTGTGACAGCGCTAATTGCAGATTGGGTGATTTTAACGATTTTTTCACTCTATACAGAAAACTATGATTACACATGACACTTGCTGGAGTAAAGGTTTCTTCTGTTTTCTTTCAGCTTTTGAGTTACGACCTGTGGGGAGGAGAGGTCCTATTAGTTTTATTGTCAAAGGTTGTACTGTGAATTAGCCGTATCTGGTAGCACACTTAATGCTTTTCATGACTATTTCTATCTTATTCAGTATTATTTATGTTTGCTGTACTTATTGTGGTTGACTTATTTTGTTTCTTTCTTCATATTGATCAATCTAAAACAAACAGATACAAAATCCGATCAACTTAAATCAGATCATAAAACTTGTTCTAATCAGTCAGAACCATTTAAATCGGATACAGTTTCTCAAATTGAACATGAATCTGTGCTAAGAGAACTTGAAATGTCAAAGTCTTCTTTAAGAGCATTACAAACTCAATTGGAAGAACAAACACGTAATGCTCGTGAACAAAATGATTCATTAATGGAAGATCGTAAAGCATTACAGGAAGAGATGAATGGTTTACGTAAACGTTATGAGGAAAAACTACGAACTTCATCAGAACAGTATGTTTTATTTTACATAATAAAGCTGATTTACAATTGATATAAAGTTGATTAAAATAAAAGATTTCAGCCTCTGATATGGTTATACAATAACACTAAACTGGATAATAATGTAGGCGCACTTGGTAATTTACCTAATAATTAGATCACTAGATCAGATTACGTGATGCCAAATTTTGACCAATAATTGAGAACCAGATTATAAGCTGAATAATGGTTTTATTAACGCAAGTACATACAGTTCGCATAGTGAAACCTAGAGTAGAATTCAATTACAGTATAATAATAGTTAGTTACATTATTATTTATAGCGTGCGGATGCTTGTCCTCACTTAGTAATCAGTCATAGCCTGGATGGATAATAAGTAGATTCTAAATGATAACAAAGAAGCAGTTCCATGTAATCCCTAATTAGTACATTCTTGACTACTAAGTTCCAGGTTTTTCACTCTATTTGAACACAATTTTTGTTACAAAAGAGCGTCTAAGTATTTATACCCTACACAAATTATTACATTTATGAGTGAGCTGAGATACTGCCCAGACTCCCAAACTGAAGCAAGTGGTTTACATAGGTGGCCACTCCCGAACCTTTGACCCAAAAGTCTAATCCGCAAATTAGTGTACCAACGTCAGGAGATAGAGTCTCATAGTAGCAGGTGGCCGACGATAGGTTCATACGCCATTCGTTTCATCGGGATCCTAGAGCCCCATGTACACCGTTTATTTTGAATCACGGTTTTCCAACTCTACCAGGTAAATCCTTCATAAGTAGCAACTGTGTTAAAGAGCCGGACACTTGCTTTTCGTCCTCTTAACTTTTAAACAACACTTGCTCCCAAAGAAGGCAGCGAGTAGGACTTCCCTGGCAGTGGATAGGCATGATCATATGAGGATACTTTCAGAGGAAGCTTACTCTCCCCATACTCGGCCGTATTTGGGCGAAAGTTTCGTGTTATAAATCATAGCTCATTTATTCCGATTAAAATAGTTGAATAGTACCATTAGCTATTAGATTCACAGGAAAAACGTACTAGAGGTTCATCAAAGTCAGAAGATTGTCTCGGATTCTGATATAATGATTTTGCCATAAGTATCAATTAGTTGAAGTTAAAGCTCATAATCAAGGTGATAGACCCATTAGCAACAGCAACTCTCATCACTACAAAAATGATCAATTTAATTTGTTTATAAAGAAGATTGCACGTCGAAATCTAGTTACTTATGAGTAATACAGTTATAATAAGCTTATCTTACACTATCCTTCACATTGAAAAGTTGAATATAGGAATCTGTATTTAATAACATTAAATTTATAAATATTTTGTACAATTTACTTTACTTTTAATTATCGAATAAGAACTAAGTAAGTTTATATTGTTCCACGAATACTGTTTATCTGCTTACAGTCTCGCACTTAAATTAATTTAAAATGGTAGTTGATAGCGAATAATAATAAAGTCCCAAACCTATTTGGGCTACAGTCTCTAAGTGAACATCAACTCTGGGATGTAGGTAAATCCAGCTGACTAGTTCCATCTTGGACGAAACATGCGTTCTGGACTCCATTGCCAGCCCCAATCCACCTCTGATTACGATAATTGTGACCTAATGGAATAATCGAGGCAGTCCGCACAGAATGATCATATTCGAAAACAGATTGATCAATTATTGTCTTAAAACATTAATGGGAAGATCCAAACATTTAATATATATACATAAAGTTAAAAAAGACGTGGAATAGAAAGGATTATAATCAGAATTCTGATTAGTGGCTTTAGCAAGCGACGTCTATCTCTAAAGTTCACACAAGAAATGTGACTGAACATCAAATATACAAATTGTATCCGATAGAAGGCATCTAAATACACTAGTTTAAAGTCAAAACACATCAATACCTATTGTGAAAATTGGAACAACACACACAAATAAGCGAACAATATTGTTTTCGATTAGATCGTCATCAGGCTTTATTCTAATATACATGAATATTTCTATCTCTTCCGTGGCCGGATATGACGTAACTAACAATTGACATTATATTTTTTATTTTATTTTTATTTTTACACATTTGCTTATTACGTAATGGTTTTGATGTTTTTATTGATTATTTGAAGTCTATTCATCCACGCTTGACCTACTAATGATAAAACTTTAGTTATCCTATTTTTCATTTCATTGTGATTATTGACTCAAATTGCCTTGATTGGTTTAACGTTTTTCATATAAATATTCATGTATATTAGAGTAAAGCCTGATGACGATCTAATCGAAAACAATATTCTTCGCTTATATGTGTTGTTCTAACATCAATACCTGATTGATAAAATCTGCAATCCAAAACTGTTTGTCTCCTCTCATAATTAGCCATATTTTGATGAAACATACAGAGAGTACCTCCCATTGAGTTTGATTCATTGTTTATTACACTAATTCCTGTTGTTTTCATTGAAAAAGTGCTATTCCATTCGTAATGTTTGCTAGTCAATTCAGTGGTCTAATTCTAATGTTCACTTTCCTCTCAGTATTTTGATCCATAGTTATGTTTTATTTTATTTTTTTGTGAACTGTATTTATGCCAGATTTGTTGGTCCACTGTTACATGCACTTCCTACAAGTAATCCAATACAGAGAATTGATTATGCATATGAATGCAGTCCCAGTTACGTGAATACTTTCTATGGAAAAAAAATTCTTGTGTTTTTAATTCAGACAATCTAACATTCTTACTGTCCACATTTTTTGAATTCCACATTATAAATTAATTGTTTTTTTTTTTTAATTTTTATTTTTAAACAGACTTAGACGCTGTCAAGAATTATTATATGACAGTACTAAAGAATTCTTAGCACAAAGAAATCAATTTCGTCAAGCTGAAAAGGTGTGGATATTAGAAAAAGATAAACTTTTAAGTCAAATCAGTATGAAAAAGTTGAATTCTTCTAATGGTACTCCATCAAATTTATGTAAGATATCTAATATTATAAGATTTATTTAATGTAAGAGGTTTGTTTAGATTGTTGGATTTTATAGTATTGGATATTTCTTTCGCTTTTCTGTGGGACTATTTAGTGGCAGTGGGTATACAGGACCCTACCTACGATCAAACCCAGGATCTTAAGGTCCTATAACCCAGCTCTTAACCGTGTACTTCATTGAGTCGTTGTCCACTGGTTAACATTTCTAACTGCTAAATCTCTGTTCTAAAATGTTATATACCCATCATCAAACTTGGAGGTCCTGGGTATAAACCATGGTTGTATTATGGATCCTCATTGCCACCGAAAATTTTCTCCATCCGGTGCTTCCTAGTATTCTAAGCCTGTCTAGGGTCATTTTCTGATGTAGGCTATGAGAAAAACTCATAAGTTTTGATTCTAGAAAATCGACAATTTGACACTGCTTCTTTGTTTATCAGTATGGATTTAATTCCTTCTATTAGGTTGGTAACTTGATTTATTACCAAGTTATTCAGCGATAAGACAGGATATGTAATCACGATTGATCTGAACACATTGTAACCTCTCTAGTGCTTTGGGCATTTGCTTGTAAATCCGAATTTCGTTGATTGTTTACTTTATCAGCAAATTGTAAAAGGTGGAATGGTTTTTCTTATTTGACCATTTTTTTAGGCATAAAACTTTCACATTGAGTTAACTCATGCGCATCTAAATTAGTGAATGCAGTGTTAGATGTTACATACAACAAGTACCTGTTTGTTTTCTTTGATATTACTAATATTTATCGCAGAATTATGTCATAATCTCTTAAAGACTTTTCTTTATACTACACGACTAAAAGGTGATGTAAATGATGCCGTCACACATATCACAACCATTCTGTTAAGCAACCTTTGAAAATTATTCTTGTCTATCTAGTTAACTTGTGATTCGTTTCCACGCATACTTTTCTCATTTCTATCTGATCTAATTAGCCATCCGTTCAGCGATGTGTTGATATGATTGGGTCCATGCTAATAAGATTGTTTTTCTTTAGAACTAATTCCATTACAGTTTTTGTAGTATTTCAGTTTTTATTCTTAGCTCTTTTAATTCAGATTTTCTTTATGTCTCACGACGACCAACGCAACTTTTTAAAGCACTCAATCGGAATTCAGTTTTTTTAATCTCATGTTAAAGGTTATTAGTATGCACATGGACGAGAAAATCCTAAACAAATAATTAGTGGTCTCTGTTCCTAATTGGTTTCTTAGCTGATGCTAATCTTTGTTACAAATGAATTTTTAAAATCAATTACACTTTTTAAACGTTGTTCTAGGAAAGTTCACTCTAGTTTAGTTTACATAATACTTGTTTCATTCCGTACCATATATATATATTGATCACTGTAAAGAATTCTCAGTAAAATTTATCTAATATTACAATAAAATCTACATTTTATTCACTGTTGAATCCCCAAATGTATTTATGATCTGTGCTACTCTTTGATTCTACTGTAATCACCTCTTGAATCCACATGAAACAGAGTAGAGTAGGTGAGGAAGCGAAATATACAAATCATCCTGGTGTGTACTACTTACGTTTCTCTCACTATAGGTTGTAGATGTTTTATTTTTTTTTTTTGAAAGGACGTAAGTGCATTCAGTTGACAGACAATAAATAATTCACCTATTTATATTCAGATAAAATTGAACAGTTCACTTTCATATTATTTACTGACAAATTATTTATTTATATTATCTTTGTGTTCTGTTCTTTTTTTTTCTTTTTTGATGTCTGTTTCGTGAAATATTAAAGCAATTTTAAAATCTGGTGAACATAATACTTGTTATTCAATTCATGATAAATTAGAAAATACATTGATCACTATGAATTCAATGAATTTAGAAACTCATGCATGGATTGAATTAAAACAACAAAAACAAATTCAATTAGAGAAAACAATCAATAATTTAGAGCATCAATTAGATCAACAACAGAAATTATCCGATATGTATAGAGAACAAGTAATAACTACATTGAATGAATATTATTTTCAATTATTATAATTCAATTTACAATTATATAAATTTACCCTGTATTGTCTAGGGCGATTTTACATTGGTTTTCAGGAGAACCAAAGAGACTGGACACGTTTTACCATTACTACATGAACAGTTCGGCTCAATCCTGTGGTGCAACCACACAGGTGCCTGATACCCTGGTGGACCATTAACACCATTTCATATAAACACAATGGTATATACATTTCCGATCAGTGATCGCGTCAATCAACATGCACCGCATGAACAGGCCATTTCGACCCATCCCGCTTACATGACTGTCAAACTCATTATTATTAGCAATGGTGATATGTAATACAGCACCCCGATAACAATGGCCCTCGGGAATGTCGCAAACACAACCACCTATATCAATGAAATCGGTCACCCTGCTAACCAATTTTGTATATGGACTGTTAACAATACTTACCAAAGCAAAGCCAAGCCATCCACAATATTCACAGCGAACCTCTTGTCTCATATGAGACCTTCAGCTCTATATAGCAGTATAGCATATGATGTACACATATATGGCGCAGGATAGTAGAAGAGGCAGCCCAGCTTGATGCGAATAGGCCCAAACACTTCTATTACACTTTGGCTCATGTCGGGCAATGATTTTTTCGCGTTTCCGAAATTTTCATTTTTCGACCATATGAGACCTGAGACCTATGAAAATTATTATCACTATTATTATTCTTATTTAATGATATTAATCAGATGATTATCTGTTGCTATGTTGATATATATTTTTTAAATGTTCAATAGTTGAAAGTAGTACACCAGAATTCAACTGATACTAAGGGTTAAACGAATGTGATATTAGTCATATTACTCAATCATTAATCTATTTGTAAATATTTCAGTCATACAGGTGGTTAATCACAGCCTGGATATTTCAACGGCGATAGTTAAGACTATGATCACAGGTGTATACCTTACTGATGAGTGCCAACTGACACAAAACCTGGGTTTTCCCAAAAACTACTTCCGACCATTTTATATTAAAATATGGTGTATATCATATTGAGTTAATTGGTGTAGTGGTCATATATACGATTTGTTCGATAGATTTCAATCAATACCTAAGGTTTAGAATAGTATTATGACATTAAATCCACTACTCATTAGTCGATTATTGCACACTTGGATATTATAACACAATGATCGGTTGAAATTTATGTAAGTAGATCGTTTAATTGTGTTATGTACATACGTGATGTATTCTTCCTGTTCATTTAGTTCTACCAATATGTTTATTGAAGATTCGTTGTGTTCATATTTGTTATGCACAGACAAGAGTCGTGTAATTTGTAAATTACTAATACCTATTCATCGTGTATTAAATGTTGAGAAACTCTTAGTGCTTATAGCTAACAAATTAAACTCTGGTAAGAAGGCCGTTTAGTTTGTTTTACTATCTTTTTATCTATCCTCACCAGTCTATCTTAACTCATAAAGATAATGAACTCGTTTCAGTCGTTTTTACCTTGACAATTGTTAACCTTTACAGACCTATAGATCCTGATAGTAAACATTGGTGGTTCGTCAAACTTTTGACTAAGTATGCATCTGTTTAGCTTCCATATAGCCCTTGACAAATAGTAAAATAAATACTCAATTTTTTCTGCATGAAAGCCTTCAATGTTTTTGTACAACTAATCTGTAAATACGATCACTAATTAATATTGAGTGATACCAAAAAAACAGAGTAAAATTCTTAAAGATAATATATAATTATTGAGAAAAAAGTAAAGTTATTGGCAAAAATAAAACATAAATTTTATCCACCTGGTATGGAAATTCAGTATAAAAGTAAGTAATTAAAATTTTTGTAAGCTTAAGAACAGAGTTTTTCTTTTCCCAAGATTTTTATAGCACTGAAATTAGTTTATTTGATTATTTTCTTAGATTTACGATGAAACATCAGCTAAACTATACACTAGTTAATTTGTATCATATTTACTATGTTGGTATTTTTTAAAAAATCAATTCTAATCTGTTGACGCTTTATTATATATATGTATATATTCAGGTTATTCAATTAGAAGAGGAATTAGTTCGTGTACGTGAAGAAGGTGTCATGTCAAAAGATGTATTCAAAGATCAAGCACAAAAACTTCATGAACGTGTTCAAGTTACATCACAACGATATCAAAATTTAGAACGTAGACGTCAATTAGAAATGGAAGGTTATCGAACTGATATTAGTGTATTACGTAAAAAATTAAAAGAAGTTGAACGACAACTATTAAAGGTACATTGTTTGTGTTAGTTTATTAATTCAATTCATGTCCACTTCCTAAAAGGTGTCTGGTAATCGTACTTGTAAAGACTTTACTTCTTTCCAGCTGTAGGTTCCTAGGAATGTGCTTAGAAAATCTATTAGGGGCTGTTCTGTCTGTTCTTTCTAATTACTTGCTGCTATAGATACGTGTGAATTTATAGATGCAATTAGAGGTGACGTCAAAAAGGTATCGGTGTACTTGTGAATGGTATAAGAAACATTTGGTGTGTTGTATAGTGAAACCACTTGAGCAGCAGGGAAGCTCTTTTGCAAATCCTACTTAATTTGTTCAATAATTGTTCCTGAAATCTTATTTCCCCTGAACGAGAAAGGGATAAAGACAGCTTCTTTTTGTAACAATTAGTTGTTTATCATTCTTTAGATGTTCGTAATAAATTTCTTTAGGCGTCCATTCTTTTTGAGGTACTTTTCTAGAATATCCAATTCCTCATTTATTTTGCCGTTTCAACATACACTTATTCAATAAGGTCATATACATGTTATATTATTACAGAACATGATATAATTATGTAAACGTTGGATTATTAATATATGTACCAATTTTTTTAGTCATCAAACTGATATATATAATAAAAAGAAGCCATTTAAAAAGTAGTATGATATGATTTAGTCTACTTTGATATTTTAGTCAATGAGAAAATCTGCAGTTAATCAATAATCACTCACTCCTTACTACTAAATTTATATTCAGATACATTCGCGTCTCTGAGATGATATTTGTATTTTATTTTATTCGTTAATTCATCCACATAAAACTATCAAGAATAAGTTCAAAGTTGGGGCAGATTTTGACAGTTCTTATTTGATAAATTCAAACCCGACCGAAGCTGCTACCTTGACGTGGTGGTCGGGCTTGCCTATCGTGATGACCCAACCGAGCTATACTGGCTGGAACATATGTTCCTGCAGGTCCTACCATGCCAGGCAGGTCGATTGGAGAACGATGAGACTAAAAGCAGCTACCCAAGGTCTGAGGGCGAAGTCGTACTGCTGACTGCAGAGGGGTGTGACAGCAGTAAGGTGTTTCCCTCGGACAACCAGCATCTGCAGCGATGCTGCCTTCTCACAAGGAAGGAAGGGTTAGAAAAGGTCGGCCCTAAAAATGTCACACTCCCCCTAACTCACGGATTTCCGTCTCCCTGGGTAAGGGTGCCCACTAAGGGCCTTTAAGAACGGAGCTAC